GCTAGGTTGTGCTTGTTTTTGATATTTCAGGTCCTAGTACGTGAATGAAGGCTTGGGAGCGAGTCTGGGGTCGATTGGACGAAGATCGGACGAATGGCGAGGTTTCAAGGAAGCTGCACGGGCAGGCCAGGGAATCACACGGCCGTGCAAGTGAGCAAGATGGCCGTGTGCTTTTTGCCGAGGCCACGCACGGGCAACCCATGAACTTCACACGGCCGTGCTAAGTGCAATTCTGGCCGTGTGATATTTGCCGAGGCCAAGCACGCGCAGACTGGATTCCTCACACGGCCGTGCCACCCTGGCCGTGTGAGATGGCTGAAGATCGACTAATTGATGCGCCGCGTTTTGACTCGCACGGGCAAAATGGTGAGCCACACGGCCGTGTGGCCTGGCCGTGCGAGTCGGGAAATTATGGTTTTAGAGCCTATTCCGAGCCAAAAGTGGGAGAATCGTATTTTCAGAGCAGAAACAGAGCCCTAGAGAGAGAAAGTATGAAGAACACATCCTAGAAGCTATCTTAGAGCTGGGTTTCGTCGAATCGAGCTTGGAGATCGTCATAGGAGTGGAAATCATCATCCCGGAGCATATTTTCCTCATCATTATGAGTATGACTAATCCGATTACTGTTTTCTCTTCTCTCTCTATGGAGTAGAACCCTTCTCTCACTTGGGTATGAAGAACCCTAGTTCCTTGTGTTAGGGATTTGATTGTAATGACTTGGGATGATATTACTATTTGATTTTAATCGAATGATGCATGTTTATTGAATTGATTGGAGTCTGATCAGCTTTTCTCAACTTCTGCTGCAACCTGAGATAGATAGAATCTGATTAGGTTGTTAGAGCCTCTTCATTCGATAGTAGGAGATTGGCTATACGAGAGTTAGCCAGTTTACTGCTTTGTACTGGAATTCAATTCCAGTAGTGGAGTTCTGTGTTCATAGCCTCAGCTTTCTATCCTGGTGAAGACTAGTCGTCTGCCGGGTAGTTAGACTGAGAGGGCTTGGTCAGCTTAAGAGATTCCAAGCTACTGTCGGATCTTCCGCAGTCTAATCAACACTAAATAAACCCAGGGTAATTACAATTGAACCTAACTAAGGGGCTAGGGGGACTCATTCCGGAGTGACTCTTTCCTGACTTTGAAAACCGAACAGTTTACTGCTTTCTTACTGCTTTTGCTTTTAAACAACAATCACTCGAATTAGTTTGCTAGATAATAGAGAATCACGGAGTAAGCAGTAGATCTAGACCCCGGGTTGATAATATAACTTGCCTGTTACTGCATTCCCGGACTGCGATTTCACTTGGTCGCAGTTTGGTGTTGTGTTTTGGCGTGTTAGTATGAGAACTTGACTTTTACCAAATGTGATCAGAAGAACCATTTGAACAAGAACAGAAAAAAGACTATGTCTCGTGGCGAAGCGACTTTCTTGCTTGACTACTTTCAAGACCAAAAGGAGAAGTATCCCGGCTTCTTTTATGCTGTAGAGGTAGATTGTGAGGAGAAAGTTGCCAATATTTTTTGGGCAGACAGTAGGATGCGTGAAAATTATGCAATTTTCGGAGACTCTGTCTCCTTCGAAACCACCTTCCAAACCAATAAACACTTCCGGCCATTGGGTATGTCGACCACATATTTTCCTTATTTTTTTTGGACACGCAAGCGATTATGCATTGTTTTTAATACCAAGTCTTTTGCAGGGATGTTTGTAGGTTTCAATCATCACCGACAAACTTGTGTGTTTGGCGCTTGTTTGTTATATGACGAGACAACTCCTTCTTTTGAATGGTTGTTTGAAGCATTTAGTCGGTGCATGAAGAGGAAACTCCCAGTGATCATCTTCACAGATCATGACTCCGATATGGCAGCTGCCCTTAGAAAGGAGTGGCCAGATGTGTTTCATGCCCTCTGTACTTGGCACATCTTGATGAATGCGAAGAAGAATCTTCGTAAGAGCAAGAAATTTTGGCATAAGTTCCAAAATCATCTTGCTTATCTTTTCTACTACGTCAACAGCGAGGCCGAGTTTGATGAGACATGGAGCAGCATGGTTTTGAATTGTTTTCCCGGTAGTGAAACTGTCGATGGCCACCAATGGATGCAATATTTGAAGAAATTTCGTCATCAATGGTGTTCCTTATATCTGAGAGATCAAGTCACAGCGGGAATGTTGACAACGCAAGCCAGTGAGTCGTGCAATGGACAAGTGCGACTCTTCTTGAAACCGAAACATAATCTCGACGAGTTTTTCATCCACTTTACCTGGTACGTTATCCAAATACTAGGACATTTATGGATATTACTTAGCACCTTAAGGATATTTGTATATTCTTTTCTGGTATTTGTATGTGATGCTGTGATACATTTTTGTGTTGTTTGGATATTTGCTCTGTTTGACAATGTATATAAGTCTGGGCAATTTGGTTTTCTTCATACATGCAGTTTGTTGGATGACAAAAGGCGCAAAGAGACTGAGTCCGACTATGATGGGAAACAATCAACCCCTTACATAGTGTTGGAGAAAAGTTCCATCCTCCAACATGCTGCCAAGATCTTCACGAAAAACATCTTCAACCGGATTCAAGAGCAATATCTGGAAATTGAAGACTATCTAATTGAGCTTGTTCCAGATAATAGGGATGATGGCTTCATTAGCTACCGTACATATAAGATGGAGGATGATGAGTGTAGCGATGAACGTGTCATTCTTGTCGATACTTCTACGGCTACATTGGTATGCGATTGTAGGATGTTTAGAACATTCGGGGTCTTATGTCGGTATATGCTTAAGGTGATGCAATTGCTTGGAGAGTTTGGGAACGATAGTATGAGAACTATTCCAGATCATTACATACTCATGCGATGGACGTTGGAGGTGAGAAGGAAAGATGTTGGTGATGCTGATGCTTCAGGCGATACTTCACATAGTCATGAGAACGAGACGGGAAAAGGAGATATAGCAATGAGGTACCGAGAAACCACTGCAATGTTTAATCAGCTCGCAACAAATTTGTCAATGGCGGATGAGAAAGTGAACAACAGGTGGATGGGAGCATTGCAAAAAGTGTGCAAGGAGGCAAACAAGGCATTGTCAAAGACTATAACTAGCGAGGACGGTAAGTGTATCGAATATTTTTTGTAAATTAGTATAAGTTAATATCATTGGATGGATTACTTAAGCCACTAACATTGTAGGGAATTATGTACCAACAAGTGGCCTCTCTCTCAAGGAGAAGAGTAATCCAAGGAAGCACAGCAAGGAACGTTATAAGTCCACGAATGAGAAAGAGCGTCGTCGAAAGAAGATTGTCTATGGAAAGAGATTGAAAGCATTGGAAGTGCTCACGCAGGAAAACCATTTTCAACATGATGACCATCTCACTAATTTGGAAGACGACCTTGCTGAATTTGGGTGTGGATATTAGTTTGTCAAACTCGGAAATTTGTTAATCAGGCTACGATATTTCTCTACGTTGTAAGGATATTAGTATGCATTGTAGGGATATGTCTTTTGGTCCTACAAATATTATCTCTAAACATTCGGATATTTTTGTTATATTTTTTGTATGTGGTTGTGTGGATTTTATGTATTTCCATCAAATATGCTCAGATTTTAGTTTGGGTGTTTTGGATATCACTTTGGGTCATATGATATACTTTTGTTGAAGGAAAGATATTCTTAATCCATCCTTGATAAAAAATCAGGGACACACTTAGTGTTGTCTACTTTAAACTAATAAAGCGAGCAATTTAATCAACATAGTTAGTGTCTACTTTTGTCCAAATGTTACCAAAATAACACAATCACCTTAAACTAATAAGAATATCAATCAGGATAGAGTTAGTGTCTCCTTTTCTCCAAAACTTCCCAAAATAACCCAATCACCTTAATACCTTGATATGATCCCAAATGGTCCATTATACACGTCACAATTACTTGACAAAGAAGCTATCAAAGTTGGGAAGAAGAAAGGCAGAATTTGGCTAAGTCAAAATCCGTGTTCAGGGTACATACTTTGGAGGCATGGTTCTCTCTATTGGCTTGGTGGAAATGCAAGTTTAAGGGCTTGTTTTACAGAGAAAGTTTCCATGTTTCCAATGGTATGCTTTGTGGATCAAGAAGAATTCATTAAGGTTGTTTTCCAAGGCCTCAAAGTTGCTACCTCAAAACTGGAAAACTGCCAGAAAATGGTTAAGTCTGGAAAGTGTTTTGTGAAGCCTACTTTGGAGCTTAATTCGAGGAGTATGGATCTGATTCATGTCCAAAGGCTTCCACAACATGAAACTAGGTATGTTTGTGAACAAAGGTAAGGAATTGGATGAAGAATTGGAGTTCGGGAAGGCCTCGAACGAAAGGCACGAAGTTAGTACGAAAGCTGCCTTTTGACTGTTTTGCTGGCAGCTTACTTGTGCTTCAAGAAAGGAAGTTTAAACCCGAATTTTGAGTCCTTTTTAGAGTAGATTTTTACCTTAATTGTTTCCTTGTTCATCTAGATTTGTATTAGGTTTTATTGGCTATAAATAGCCCTCCATTTACGTTGTAAAAACAGAAGACTTTGATTAATCGAAAAACCTTTGGTTTTGTGCAAGTTGCGACTTGTTTGAGTTTGGTGGATTCCAAACTTGTGAGCTTTGTATCGATTGAATATTCTCTTCAATCGTGGTCGAGCAGCTACCCTTTTATACCATACGAGCTTTCCCCAGGTGTGGAATTGTCCGTTGGTTCCGTTTTATCCCAAGTTCGTATTAAGAGCGCTTCGTTCTTGATTCGAGCTCAATCGATTCTTCGATTGAGTCGTTGCTGCGTTACTTTGATAAACATACACCCCCCAGGGGCGTATCATACCTTAAGATCAACATATGTCCCATGAAACATAAGGAGGTAAGTTTCAGCTTCTCTTCCCTTTCTCCTTATATGCTGCCCACTCATTTGCCTCCTCAAGTATGACATTCCTTACTTTGTTGTATTTCCATTGAAGGAGACTGCCTGCAATAGATGCTCGCTGGTGCTCCACGTGCTTTTCCAAGTGCCAAGTTTCCTTGTATTCCGATGGAATGTGACCCGCCCAGTTCTCCATGAACATGCATGCGAACACTCCCCAGTCATCGTTTCCTTTTTGTTGAGGAACATCCGCAATTAAGAATTCCCAATCATGCAAGGGAAAATCGATGTTGTGCTTTGCAAGGAAAGCAGCCCCATACTCTAATATCAATTTCCCCATTGGACAGTGATCCACCTTGGCCACTGCTGGCTTGGGTTTCATGCTGTCCAGAAGGAAAGTCTTCTGACTCCTTAGATCAGCAGCGTAGACCCAGTAGTGTTTGTCTGTATGCACAGGTAAAAAAAATCTGAAACATAGAAAAAAATCAGCTATTTTCTCGGATAAATATCCAATAAACCCAGACTAGTATCCAAAACTAACATTTCAGATATTCACAGTCAAATCTTCAAACAAATAAGTTATTCTCTCGGATAAATATCCAATAAACCTAAACTAGTATCCACAACCACGTAAATCAGTATCGAGATAGAATAAGGATTCACTTACATATTCTACTTTGTCCCATGCAACATGTTTGAAGACTGGAAACTGCTGGGTCAGTTCAATGACACCATCGAGTCTCTCCTTGGACGGGGGTACATTCGTCTGAGAATTAAGTATGGCAAGTTGCTGTTTGCAAAGTAAAATAATAGCTAATTAGTTACTGAATATCTAAAAATTGTAAGGTGTGAGTGAAGAGCCTACTTACACCAAAAGTGAACGGAAAGATAACTCTATTCTTGTCACCGAAAAGTGCTTTGTCGTTCAAGAAATGACCATAAGCCTCAACCACTTGTAGATTGACCCACTCTAATCGCTACAATGTCAACAGATGAAGACGGGCGAGTTTAACTGAAGGAGTGTGCACCACCAAGCCCTTACCCTCAGGGGTACTGAAGACGAACTCAACCATGAGACGAGCAACTGGGTCGAGCTTTGGCGACACATCCTTCGACAAATAATATACTGATGAAGAAGCATATGGGTTCTTCTTCGACCTCTCGAACTCTGGGGTCTTTAGTGTTGCAAGCCATTCCTCAGGTGTGTACCTGTACATACGGTCTCTCTCCTCGTCAGTCATATTCCTCCCATCCGTGATAATCACATCTGGACTCCTCTCAGCGCTCTTACAAGCCGCTTCTACCAACTCCTCGTCTGTAGGCAACATTCCCATCTCTGCAAGTTGAGAGAACGACTACACCACATATGTAGGTGGGTCTTCTTCCTCGGCATTAGCAGCGCTAGTAGCCTCATGAGCTATCTGCAAAATGTCTTCAAAAGAGGTATCTGGGACTGTATAGTGTATCACCATAGGGACTGTCGGCACAAACACCTCCTCGTCCGGTGTCTCTACAGTCTTCTCAGCTTCATTCTCCACCACCTCAAATCTATTCTTCTCTTCAGGATCTTCTTCACATTTCTCTCCAGTTGTCTCCACTTGTGGCTCGACCTGGTCCTTCTCTAGAGGCTGCTCATCTATTTCCAATTTAGCTTCAGTATTCTCCACTTGGTCTTCCACCACCTCTGTTTTAAGCTACTCTAGCACCTCCTCAACAGTATTCTCCAAAGGTCTCCTCCTGGAATCCACGACCTTGAACCTGTCATGCTCTTCACTCTTTTCTATCATATGTCCCAGTTTTGTTGCAAAGTCCAGCAGTTTTCCCATATGCCGGTCAATCCCAGCACCTAGTACCTTAAGCTGGAAGACAAACGAACATTTTGCACAAATTAAAAACAATATCCAAACTGCTCGTACACTTATCCCATGTACCCAGACTAGTATCAGAAGAGAGCGTACAAATATTCAAGTCGGCAGAATTGATATCCAAAAATAACAAACATTGATTTCACAGAAATATCCAAATGCATAAAATTAATATCCAAACCTCACAAACCAGTATTCATAACTGAAAAGAAACCACAAGATGATATCCAAATGAAACCAACAAATATTCCCGAACAACAAACTAAAATCCGACTAATATCCAAAGGCATTCCAACATGGCATCAAATTCACGGAAAACAGTACAACCACCGACCAAACAACGGAAAACAGTAGATCAAATTCACTCTTGCTGTTCCAAATTCCGGACAATCGTTTGGGCCTTGTCCCTTCGAGCCACCCACTTTTCAATCATGCTCTCAGTCATTTCCTTCAATCCCTTAAGCTACACATATGTTGTGAAATATTTAGGTTACTATATCGTCCAAGTCTACCAATGCACGATCTTGGTTAGGGAGGAAGAAAACATTTTACCTGCCCTAGCGGAAGGCTAGTCAAATCTTCAGTCTTCCACCATTCCGCGGTGGGCAACGGTGCACGATCTGGAGGAGGAGCTTAACTGCTCGCAGCTGTTGAACTAGTACCCCCAATAGCCGCCGGCTGGAGCTGCCTGCGCGAGGCGATTTCTTCCCAACTCAGCAGAGCGGCAGCTAGGTCATATCTTCTCTGACTAAGGGGATAGATGTGCTTGCCCTCTCGACACTTTGCTTACACCAAAACCGGCAGCTAGGTATGGTCTTTTTGTGCAACCCGCCTAGTTTTAGAGAGTCCAGCAGATGGAGCAGTAAAAAAAATTACAATTAATAAATGTTAAACTCCATTTCTAGCAATTTAATCAACAAATATCCAGAGTCAACACAAACAGTATCTTATGTGACTAAACTGATATCCAGAAATCATTTTAAGCTAATTTCTTACAAAACAAAGAGTATCCGAGTTCAGTTAGATGATACCCAAATAGGAAATTCACTAGTTTTCATGCAATTGAACCAACAATTATAGAAAAGGATAGGACTTACTGTCAAGAAGTAGCAATCTCCGAGAACCCACACGCACGGCGAGCCCAACGCCTTTGCACTATGTTCTTTTTTCTTGGCAACAGTCAACTCTACTTTCAGTTCATGGACAATAAATGTACACCAATTGTACACCCTCACGTCCTCAACACTCCCACCTAGTTATGGCGCAAAGTCCAGCTTGCACCGCCGAGAAAATGTTGGCACGAGCATCGAACCAGTAGCTAGCAACAAGAATTGCTTGACAGCAATTGCAACAGGAGGTCTAGGACCGTTGGCTGGAATGGCCAACTCCCGCAGCTTCTTGATAAGAACCACGCGAGCCCTGTTCGGAATCATGCCAACTTCCTCGCTGAAACTGTCGAGCATCCCCCCCCTCAACGTTCTTCAAATCAATCACAGCCCCACCGAGTGGAAGGTCGTACACACGTGCCACATCCTCAGTTGTGAAGTCGAAGACCTTCTTCGAGTCTCCTTCCCCAAAAACAAAAGTACTGGATGAGGAGTCATAAGCAGCCATCAAGTCGTCCATGAAGACATTGGGTATCTTCGGCATGCGAAGGTCCAATAGGCCCCCGAATCCTGCCTTCTCGACTTCTTTCTTGCATGCTGCATAGTATCCAGCATCTTCTTTCCAGTAGCTTATAATTTTGAAGAGGGAATAGGTTGAGCCACGAAATCTGAAATATGAGCCGCAAGGACCCTCTCCCTCATCATCTTCTTCCTCATCTTCCTCCTCAACTTATGGAATAGCAGGCGGCGGCTGCCTTGATCGTTCTCCTTGACGAGATCTCGATGCAACCATTTTCGTTCTCTTCATCCCGGGTTGTTCCTGAAACATAGTTATATATTAAGCAAAATATCCATAATCCTTGGACAAATAACTAAAACGCACACTTATATACAATTATTATCGTAGTAAAGCAAAATTGTATCCAACGGAGATAACTGATATCCATGAAAAAAATATCCATAATACCCAGAAAAATAACTAAAACGAATAGTTAAGTATCCACACTAACAGAACTGATATCCACACATCAGACACATCAGATTATTTTTTTAGCCAATACATACAATTATTATCGTAGTAAAGCAAAAGTGTATCCAAACAGAGATAACTGATATCGATGAAAAAAATATCCATAATACCCAGAAAATAACTAAAACGAACAGTTAAGTATCCACCTTAACAGAACTGATATCCACACATCACACACATCATATTATTTTTTTTTTAGCCAATATAACTAATCGAGAAACGAAGTGAGAAATAAAACCTTTGGTGGTTGTTCATCCGGCGGCTGCTGTGATGATCCAGCTGCTTGATAGACCGATAATTATACATGTTTTCACCCCTATTCTGAAGCCGTTTGTGACGAGGAAACTCGTGTTTTAAGCCGATTTCACGCTAGGTTGTGTGTTTATATCATATTTCAGGTCCTGGCGTTGGAATCGAGGCGAAGGAACAAGTTCCGGGTCGAAAGGAGCGAAGATGGGATAAAGGATGCTGCTGGACCAAAATACCCGGTCGAAGGAAGAAATACCCGACCGGGTATATTCTGGCCTCGACCGGGTATTTCCTCCTTCGGGCACCCGTGAGAAACAGAAGGGGGCCCGGGCAATGGCGTTAAATCCCCGGTCGGGGATTTTGATGTTGGACCGGGGATTTCCCCCTTTAGTGGAACGGCGCGTTTCAAAGATACCCGGTCGAACCATAAAATACCCGACCGGGTATTTCGACCGGGTATCGCGGGGTCAGCTGATAAAAGAGGAAGAAGGCCAATTTTCAAAGGGGTTCCGAGTTTTTGAGAGAGAAATCGATTCCTAGAGAGAGAAAGCGACGAACCAGAGTTCCCAAGCGCCTTAGATCGATCTTCAACACCATTGGAGCCCGGTTTGAGCTTGGAGAAGTGCGATTAAACGTCCAGGAGAAAGAATCCAACTTCACGGTATGATTTCCGCGTCTGAATCTGTTTTTGCTTCTTTCTCTATGGAGTAGTTTCCCCATTCATCTGGGTATGGAGAACCCTAGATTTGTATGCTAGGTCTGATTGTATGAACCCAAGTACAGAGTTTGTGAATTGATTATATTCGATTGAGGTTTGAATGATTGAATGACTTGAATCCTGATCAAATTCATGTTGTTTCTGTTTTAACCTAGAATGAGAATATCTGCCTAGGTTGATAGAGTACCCTTAATCGAAGGTGGTGAATTGGTGACTTTAGTCGAGGAGCCAATTCGCTATTCTGTACCGAAGTCAATTCGGTAGTGGAGGTTTGGTTCATTAGGGCCTCAATCTGTTTACTCCGGTGGAGGTTAGTCGCCCGCTAGAGACTCAGATTGGGAGGGTTTGGAGACCTTTATTCGAGACTTCAGGCTAATTGAGAACCTTCCGCAGTATAACTTTCATGAAAACTGAACTTGGTAAATTGCAATCCGACTTAACTGCAGTCTAGGGGGAACCATATCCGGGTGACCTCTCTTGACTTGACAACAAACCGTTTACTTGCTTTGTGTTTTGTTTGCTTGAGTTGCACTAACAGTTCACCGCTAAATAACAAGAATTCACCGAGTAGTCATCACATCTAGGACCCGGGTTGACATTAAAACCCGACCCGCTATACTACGCTTTAGGAAGTGGTTATACTTGGCCATTTTCTAGGGTGACAGTAGGAGTGAGTCAAGTTTTTGGCGCCGTTGCCGGGGACGGCTAGGTTGTTGAAGAAAAGTGATTTCTGTTACTTTAGCATTTTCATTTTTCGCATTGAGTTTTTGTTCTTCCCACTTGTGCCTTCACGGGTTTGCATTGCTTGATTGTGTGCAGATAGTGCATGACCCGTAGCCAGTCGGGAAG